TCAAATTGCCTGGTGTTTTATTGGCTGTCTGTGCCATTGTTTCTTTGAGCTCATTAAACAGCCTCGGTTTCCTCCCTAAAATCCTTTCTGAGAGGTTATATAGGTGGTTAGTTCTGGCTGAATCTTTGGGTCTGCCATTTCCGCTGACTAAGCATGATGGGGTTCTGTGCGGCTTTTCCCTGGTGCCAGCTGCTGATTGGGTGTGGGTCTCTCTAGGCTGTGATTTGCGCTCCCCCACCCCCCACTGCCCAGGGACTATCTGGGTGGGCCCACTCGTAAGTGCTCTTTCTGTTGCCTGTTGAACTTAGTGACTGGCTCCATCTGGTGTGTCAGATGTTATTGGTGAGGTGCTTGCCTAGGCCACGTGGCGCCAGTGGACTGAGGTTTTCCTGCCTCGGGAGGCTGGGCCCTAGGACCCCAGGACTTCTTACTTTCAATTACCTTTGCCAGTTTTCCTGAGAGGAGGAGGCTGGAGCTAAGAGTAAGCTGATTTAAACATGTGTGCTTGAGAGCCGCCAAGCTACTCCACGCTGAGTTCAGTGTAATATTCCACGGCTGTTCCCCACCAGATGTGAGAGTTCACCCACCCCTTTCGGGAGTCAGGTAGGGTGGTGAGCTGACTCAGTGCACGACCCACTGCCTGCCCTGCAGTAGGTGGGTGTTTGAGGTGAGGAAAGGGGGGCTGGCAGAGTTGTGACTGGGATGCATGTGACGGACGGAGGATGTGGGCACAGGGCCCTCCTTTCCTGCTGCTGTAAATCTCCACCAGCTGTGCAGCTGGACCTTTGCACATGCTGTTTCCTCGGCCTGGCATACTCTTCCCTGATGGCCTCAGGTTTTTGCCTGCAGGGTGCCGTCCACGACTGTCCTTTCCCAATTTACAGGCTGCAGCTTCAGACACGCACCTGTCCTCTTCCTCCCTTTCCCTTGTGGCACTTACCCGGAGTCAGTATTTTACTGCTCTGCCTTATGCATCGGCTCATCACTTTCTTGAGAGTGGGGAGGGGTGTCTGTCATATTCAGTGACTGGCACGCAGCAGGTACTCAATAAATCATTGTTGAATGGCTGATTGGTGGTTGAAGGAAGGACCCAGATCCCGACTGCAGACGAGCCTTTCTCTAGCCTTCTGCCACCTCAACTCACATCCACAATTTGACTTGCTGACCCCCTTGCTGCCCCCGTGCCTCAGTTTCCCTGATCTTTCAGAGGGGTGTTAGTTTGGGACTTCTAGCAGCCAGGGTAGGAGGCAGCCAGTTGTGACCCTGTCAAAGCCCCCTTCTGTTTCGGAGTAGAGGTGCTGTTCTCTCCTGGTCCCTTCCACGTTTTTTGTTTGTGTTTTGGGCCACACCTGGCAATGCTCAGGGCTTACTCCTCTCTCTGTGCTCAGGAATTACTCCTGATGGTGTTCAGGGGACCATATGGAATGCTGGAGATCAAAACCGGCAGGCCACATGCAAGGACTTAGCAGCTGCACTATTACTCACTCCTAAACCCTCCTAGGCCCCCGCCGTACCCCGCTTACCTTGTTCCTACCATTTCTTAGAGGCAGAGGAGGCCAGCAGGTGTTGCTGCAAGCCATCACCCCACCCCATCAACCCACCCACTGGGAAGAAGCTGTGAAGCTTCTGCCCCACTCAGCAATAATGCAGTGCTGCCGTCATTTCCAGTCTGAGGCCCACACCTAAACCCTTCCCAGTCTCTCTTCCTCTCCCTATTTCCTTCTCTCCCCCCCTCCACCCTCTCTCTCCTTCTCTTCATTTTTGTTTGTTTGTTTGTTTTTGGGCAACACCGGAAAGTGCTCAGGGGGCTATTCCTGGCTTTCTGCTCAGGGATCACTCCCGGAAAGTACTGCTGGGACCAGATGCAGTTTTGGGATTTGAACCAGAACTGGCCACATGAAAGCAAGTGTCTTCCCTGTATACTCTATCTCTAGCCCTCTTTCTTTCTTTTCTTTTGACTTTTCGGTCTTACCTGGAGATTCTCAGGGGTTACTCCTGGCCCTGCACTCCTCCTGGCAGTTCTTAGGGGACCATAGGGGATGCCGGGATCGAATCCAGTTCGGCTGCATGCAAGACAAGTGCCCTACCTGCTGTGCTATTGCTCCGGCCCCTCCAGCCCCCCCCCTTTTTTTTTTTCCTTTTGTCTAACACTCAGTAGTGCTCAGGGTGGCCCTGTGCTTGGAGAACCATGCAGTACTGGGTATCAAGCCCATGCCTCCATCATGCCAAGTGTGCTCTCAGCTCAGTGATCTATTTCTGTGGCCCACGGCAGGCTCTTTCTTCCCTGTCTTCTCCAAGTTCCTTCTGGTTCTTTAAAGTTCCTGTCTCAAAGTCACCTGCTCTGAGGAGTCTCTCCTGACCCCACCCAGGTGGAGTCTGGCCCCTTCCCGGGACTCTTGCTCATGTCTATTTATAGTCCTGCACGTGGGGTTCTGTGATTCTTGGGCTGTCTGTCAGAGTCCCTGACTAACCATGAACCCCTTCAAGTGGAGGGCCTTGTCTGAGTCATCTGGGCACCTCGGAGGCCTGCACAACACGAGAGTCGCTTCACCCATGTTGGTGGCATGCTTTCCATCCTTCCTTTGTTCATTCCTCAAATATTTAGTAGGCACCTAACATGTGCCAGGCTCTGGGCTATATGCCGGGAATGTGCCAGGGAAGGAGTTGGACCAGATTCCTGCTCAGGGAGAGCAGGCTAGAAACAGAACAGGAAAGGCAGCCGTGGCATGAGTGCCACGTCGAGAATTAAAACCGGCAACACAGAAGGCTCCTTGGGGGAGTGCATTTAGAGCGGGCTGCAGAGGCCGGGGTGTGGCTCTGTGGCAGAGCACACACGTAATGTCTGCATCATGGGCTCCATCTCTGGAAGCACCCCTTCCCCAACATACACACACGCACGCACGCACACACGCATGCACAAGGAAGCCCACAGAATGACAGGGAATGAGCAGAAAGATGTCCCAAACAGAGGTGCCACCCAGGGTGGGAGGGAGCAGCATAGATATCTGCATCACTGAGACCTGAGCCAGGGAGAGCCTGGAAGGAGCCTGGAGGGAGCACGGGAGGAATGGAGGACTGAGTGGTCAGCAGGGAACCTGAGCCCAGAAAACCTGCTGGACGGGACTTGCAGTCCTGGTAGGGAGCTAGCTGCTGCTGGGTACCCATTTTACTGGTTGGTAAGTGGCAGGTCCCAGGAGAAATGATCAGCCCAAGGTCACATGGCCCATTTGGGACAGTGTGTTAGGCCATTCGAGATTCTCAGGAGTGGTAAGATTGGGATGGCTTCCTGTAGGATGTGGCCTCAGCACTTAAAAATAAAAAAGGTCTGAGCATCTGGGGTCTTTCAAGCCTCATTTATTTCAGAGAAGCCTCATAGTCCTCAGGAGACAGGAAGTCAGCCAGGCCTCGAGTGGCTTAGTGACTTCCAGCAAGAGACAGTCTGATGCTGGAGCTCATGACTATCCACCCACTGCCTGCAAAGGCTGAGCGAGAGATGCAGGAAGAGAAGAATGATAATTATATGGTCTCCCCCTTATCTCATTTGCCCTTCCATCACTGTGTGGGTGGGGCCCCGCTCAGATCACCAGGACTTTACAAACGGACCTGCAGAGGTCAGTTCCCTGTTCCAAGCCCTTCCGTCGATCATGTTGCCCTCACGTGAGGTTCCTGGCAGGTCACATACTCATGCCTGCCTGGAGGTGAGGGGCTGACCGCTTGACCTCGGCTAGGTGCTTCCTGTCTTCACTAGCCTGTGACTTTCCAGCCGAGTCACCTGATCCAAGCACCATGCTTGAGCATGGGGAAGGTCTGGCCACTTGGGCTTTACATAGATGAGCAGACTGAGGGGGCCCCAAGAGGAGAGGATGAAAGGCCGAGGAGAGAGCTAGCTGAGACACTGCCAAAGGCATAGAAATGGCATTGTACACCCTGCCAGGCCCAGCTTCCTCAAGTCTATCAGGAGGGGAGCAGGGGCCGTAGTACGGGTGTAGAGCACTTGCTCTGCATGCAGCTGGCCCGGGTCTGATGTCCGACATCCCATTTGATCCCGCGAGCACCCACTGCCGGGAATAATTCCTGAGCACAGAGCCAGGGGTGCAGTCAGGTGTGACCTAAAGTGAAAGAAAAAAAAACCCTCAAGAAATAAAAATCCAAAACCAACAAACCCAAACTACCTTTGCTCACTTACTTCTTACTAGGAGTCACCAAATGCATCACCTGTGCCCCTGCGTGCACAGCAACGGGCACCTGGTTGCACGTGTGCTGCAGCCGGGGGAACAGGGGGGAACAGGCGTGCACGTCTGGCAAGGTTTAATGTTCAGTCAACAAAACATCTGCTAGTGTCCTTAAAAGTCTGGGTCCGGTTTTCAGGAGCAATGCCGGAGGCGGGGCCGTTATTGTGGCTTTTCCGCGGGTCAAAGGCCAGGCTTACTGTAACTGTGACCATCGCTGGAAAGTACCTGCGTGGGGATCTGAACCCAGGGCTCACCGGCGAGGTGCACTTTTAACCCCTCCGCGGCACTCTGCTTCCTGCTTCCCGGGTTCCCTGGCTGGCCACCCTGCGGGACGTAGTTTTTTTTCAAGCCCGCCCAGCAGGCGAGCTTGGGCGCGGGGATAGGGTGGGACGGGGCTCGGAGGCGGCCCTCGTGCCAGTGGGTCCTGCGAGTGGGAGGGTCCTGCATCTGGACAGGCAGCGCGAGGAAGCCGAGTCCGGTCCGAAGTGGGCGGAGCCTGACTGGGTTTCCCGGGTGGCCGGCGGACGTGACTGACGGGGGGGCGGAGCCGGAGTCGACCGGCCGTAGGCGTGGCTTGTGCTTGACGGGCAGGGCCAGACCCACGTGTGATAGGCAGGGGAAGGACCCCAGAGACTGGAGAGCCAATCGCTGCTCGGGGGCGGGGCCCCAGAGGCGCCGTCCGGCCGCGGCCCCTAGCAGCGCGGCTCAGTCTGGCTCCGGCGCCGCCCGCGGCGGACGCGTCCCCGTCGCCGCCGCCGCCGCCGCCGCTCCTCGACCGCCTCTCGCCCGCCGCGCCCGCGCCGCCTGTCAGCAGCCATGAGTGCCCTCGGCCCGGGTTGAGTCTTCCGCCCGCTCGAGCAGTCCTCCCGCCGCCCCCGAAGCCGTCTGCACGATGGAGTCGCCCGCCTCGAGTCAACCCGCCGGCCTGCCCCAGCCCAAAGGTAAGGGGCGCGGGCCGGTCGCGACCCCCGCCCGCCCGGGCACGGCCGGGCTCGGGGCCGCGGCGCCCCCCCACCCCGCTTGCGGGAGCCTCGCCCGCCCCTCGCGGGCCCGGCGTCGCCTCAGCCGGGGACTCGGCGCCTCAGCCGGGACCTCACCTGGCCGCCCCGTGTAGGCCGCGGGGTGGCGACGGGTGGGCCGGCTCGCCGCCCCCTGCCCCGCGGCCTCCCAGAGCGTCCCGGCTGCGACCCACCTGGGCCCGGCGGCGCGCCGGGGCTCGGAGCCGGCACCCCGCGAAGCTGTCGGGCGCCTCTGGAGGTCCGACGACGGGTCTCCCCAGAGCACCGCCCTCCGCCCGCCCCGCTCCCGTCTGCACTCGGCGGCGACGGGGGGTGGGTGGGGGTCCGCCCCCACCTGCGCCCGGTTTCGGCCGGGCTTGCCCCTGGCCGCGCTGTGGGTCCCGGGGCAGCTTCCTGTTCCCCGGCTCCAAGCAGCTGGCCTTCCTGGAAATTCTGTGAGGAGGTGGTTTTGGCGGCGGCGGGGCTGGCCGGCTGGCTGGTCACGCGCGGGGCGGAGGTGGAGGGGAGCCTGGGGGCGAAGGGGGGTTTTTCTTTTTTCCCGTTTTGCAGAAAGAGGAAAGGATGTGTGTGTGCGCGCGCGCGCGTGTGTGTGTGTGCGCGCGTGTGCGTGTGTGGCGTGTGAGTGGCGTGTGAGGAGGCCCCGCAGGCAGTCGGGCCGTGGAGAGGGTCGCGCCACCCCGGGGCGCCGTTGGGATGAATGGGCGGCGCGGCTCCCGCAGCTCCCCTCAAGGAGCGTGTCTGGGCCGCAGCTGCCGCCGTAGTAGCCGTGAGACGCGAGCCCCGCCGCCGCCGCCGCCGCGCTTGCACGGCCCGGCGTGGCTGGAGCTTGGTGCGCGCTGGAGTCTTGGAGCCAGGGTGGGTGATGGCACCAGAGAGAGCCAGCGGGGCTCTTGGCACTCCGGAGCACTCAGGAAGAGAGCACCCCCCGCCCCCCCGCCCCAGCTCGTCCTGCTCTCAGCCTCAGTCAGGCACGTGGGTCCCGGCCTTGCCTGCTGCGGGCTGCAGCTCCGGGGCGGGGGTGACAGCTGGCCCTACTTCCCCTTCCCTAGGGGGCTTCAGGAGGGTCCCAGCCGTGCCGGCGTGTGGCGGCGGCGGCGGCTGCTGCTGCTGCTGCTGCGGCTGGGTGGGCAGGGTAATTACGTCTTACATAAGTGGGAGGCCGGATCCCTGACCATTGCCCAACCACTGTGAGTAACCCGGCAGGCACTCATGGGGGAGGCGTCTGGGGAGGACTGGCTCGGCGGCGCGGACCTCGGACCTCGTGGGGCTTGGGAACCAGGAAGGAAATCACACACTTCTTCCACTTGTCCCGTTCAGGCGCCAGGCCAGCCTGGTCTCTGCAGTTGGGACTGGGGCACCAGTGCTTGCAGGGGTGCAGGGAAGAAAGAAGGCGGAGGCCACGTGTGCTCTCCTCGGAGGCTCGTGTTCCGCTCCTCCCGGCAGGGCATTCCTCATCAAACCCAAAGTTCAAGGCAGGGGGGAATGCCCCAAAGAGCCAGAACTCCGGGGTCGGTTCCGTGCTGGCGTTGCATGTTCTCTTAAACACGGGAGTGGGGAGCAGCCACTGAGCACTAGCAGGTGCTAGTGCAAAGCACGCCCGAAAGCACGCCCGAAAGAAAGGCAGGGAAGTTGCAAGGCTCAGAGGGAGAGCTGGGATGGTGTGCAGAGAAGACTCATTTCCCCCCTATGCTGTGTCAGTCCGGCATTGCCTGCTCTGCGCCTCTGCAGAGAGAGGACAGGATGGAGTTCTAGTTTGCGAGTACAAGCAACAGATGATGTCTGGTGGGTCGGAGGGAGGGTGTGAGGCCTTTCCAGGGGCCCAGCACCCCATCAACTTCTTTGGGGACTGTGAAGGATGTGAAGGGAAGCCACCAGGCACCCTTGCCAGAAATTCTTGTTTTTGTTTTGTTCTCTCGTTTTGGGCTTTGGAACATACCTGGCAGTGCTCGGGCTCCCGGCTCAGTGCTCAGGGATTATTTCTGGCGGTTCTCTGGGAATCATATGTAGTGTTAGGATCAAACCCAAATTGACTGCGTTACCTGCTATAGTATCTCTCTGGCCCCCTTGCCAAAAATTCTAAGTGCTCCCTTTTACCCAGACCCTCCCTCATACCTCATTTGCTCCCTACAGTCCTATGAACAGAGGCAGAAGCAGCAGAGGTGTTGATTCCCTGCTTGGGGTCACATCACTGTGATAGATGTAGTTCTCGGGTTGCACCCCGGACTGTCTGCTCCAGAGGTCTCCACAGTACAACCCTGCATCCCATTTCTGTGCTAGATATTTGATTTTTTTTTTTTTTTTTTTTTTTTGGTGAGGGTTGGAGGGCATCCACATTGGTCATTCTCTGGGGTTGCTTCTAGCTCTGTGCTTAGGGGATTGCTCCCAGCAATGCTCAGAGGATCATGCAGTACCAGGGATCAGATCCAGACCTTCCGCATGCCAAGCCTGTGCTCTGGCCGGTAGATCTGTTCATCTAGCCCTGTGTGGAGCTGCTGGAGTGGGGGGGACAGCCTGTTTCCACGCATACCTGGTTTCCCTCTCCGGTGGCTCTCCTCCTGGCCCTGCCCTACCCGGAAGAGGGACTGAGCCAGGGTTTATATCCCCTGCATGTTCACGACAGTCCATTTAGCAGATGATAAGACCAAGGTCAGACAAGGGGAGCTGCTGGACCTGGTGCACAAAGCCGCTGCTCCCTGTGCCCTCCCTGACTGTGGCAGAGCTCCGGCTCTGGGCTCTCCGCTGCCTTCTCCCAGGAATTTGAACAAAGCAGGGTGTGGATGACACTTGACCTTACGGGAGTTTTACCTTTGCGCTTCCTGCCTTGCAGCTGGTGCCCTGCCCCATCCGCCGTGCCACGGGCCTGGGAGTTTTCCATGAGCACATAGGGCCCCAGGGCCCTGGCCCTGCTGGTCTTTCCCAGCGCCTGACCCACGTGCCATCTTAGACTGGGGTCAGAGGCCATTGCGCTCGGGCTAGTGGGCAGGGGCGCATTGGGTCAGCATGGCCCACACTGCTTTGTCCTTGAAGGGGGACCTCACTGACCCCCCTTGCTGCCACCTCCTGTGGGCTCTTTGTAGCTGATCTTCATGGGAGTCCCTGTTGTCCTATGGGAACACGGGGACTGCAGGAGCCCTGGCTGCCTCTCCTCCTGCCCCCCCAGTCTCTCCCTGATCCTGCTGTCGGAAAGAAGACTGGAGGGTGGCACCTTGGGAACTTCCCCCACCCCTGGTGTGACGCACAGGAAACTCTCTATCAGCCAGCCCATGGCTCAGGGCCTGAAGGGAGCAAAGTTCTCAGTTGCTGTGTAGGAGCGGGCTGGGGCAGCGGGAGGCTTCCGGTGGGTGAGTCAGCGGGCACTGGGCGCTGACTCACCCCCCGGGCATGCCAGCCAACAGGCTGCTGCTTAAAGGGGCGATGCCCGGGGCTGGTGGGGTTGGGGGCTGTGAGCTCCATCCTTGCAGGTCAGCAGCTGGCCCTGAGCGAAGGGGGGCGTCATGGAAGGTGGCCTCTGCCCGGGCTGGGACCCCTGGGAAGTTCCTCCCTGCTTTGGCCTTGCCCCGCCCAGGAACTTCCTCTGTGAGGCAAGGCCCCTGCTTCCTCTCACTCACTGAGCAGGCCCAGGTGGCCGAGCATTGCTCTCTTCAGGCTCAGACAGTGCTGGGGGGCGCAGGAGGGTGAGGAGCAGAGGTGGTGTGGAGTGTGAAGACGGCCCAGAGTACATCCAGCTGGGTGCTCTTGGGCATGTCTGGCACAGCCTTTGCCCTCTGTGGCGGGGTCAGACCCCCAGGCTTTCCCCAGCCTGTGTCTCCCTCCCTTTGCGGAGTTGGGCTAGGAGCTGCCTGGTCGGCTGTTGGCCACAGGCTAGAGACAAACAGTTCCCATCCGCTGTTGCCCAGTGTCAGGTGCTGGACTCAGCAAGACGATCCTGTGTCTACAAGGACCCAACTTTAGGGACATCACAGCAGCACAGAGCACAGGGCAGAGCCGGGCTTCTGGACGGATCAGCCTCATGCAGATTCTGACTTGAGGTCTGGGATGGTAGCTCAGCTGGCTGGATTAGTGCTCTGTGTGCAAGAGGCCTGGATTCAGTTCCCAGTACCTCCTTTCCTCCGAGCACACGACCAGGAGTAGCCCCTGTGCACGGCCAGACCGAATTCTAACCCGCTGTACTGCTTCCTGACTTCCTCATTTGCCCTGTCTGACCCTCAGTCTCCTCTTCCATAAAGTGGGAATAAAGTTTCCACCCTTGAAGAGTGTGGATAAAGATTGGAGATAAGACTCGTCAGGTGAACAATCTGTGGCAATTCTCTGTTTGTGGCCACTGCAGATGAGTGAACAGGTCTGAACCCCACAGTGACAGCGAGAGGGTACTGTATTCTTTGCTGAAGCTTTGGGCTCCCCGTGGTGTCTGGGCCCTTTCTTGGGGCAGACCTGTGGGGAACAAGGGGCTGGGCGCCTCTGTCTGCTGGCAGGCCTCCAGAGGAGGTGTGGGATGAGGAGGGGGGTGTCAGGAGGAAGGACCCCTGGGCTAGCCTGAGTTGGTAGAACTTTCTCAGCACAGGCCCAGAGTGCTGGGGGGACCCGTGGAGTCCCTTGCAGCCTACCTTTCATAGTTCTATCTGGGGACCTGGCATCGAATCCAAGCCTGAGATCAGGAGTAGGGGGTGGGGGGTGATGGGGTGATGAAGTGGGCTCCACTCTCCAGCGTTGGGTCGCCCAGGACTGTCCAGGCCCCCACAGGCATGTTGTCCGGTGTTCCTGCTGCGTCTGTAGCTGCCTCCTTGTCAGTGACCATGGATACCCCAAAATCTTTAGGTAAAGCTTTGTACTAGCCATGCCAGGCCTCCACCCCAATCACCCCTCCCACCCTGCCTTGCTACTTCCCCAGAGGGTCAACAGGCTCCCCTGCAGGGGCTTTGTCC